ATGCTTAGGTACGCATGCGTAAGAAAATACGAAAAACTTTTGAACTTTTAAAAGGTAAGTACATGATTCCATAGCGTAAAGTTAGGTCCCGTAAAATGTTCCGCAAATGTCCCGCTTCACGTCCAGGACAGAGTTAACATAATTAATTTTTGCATTTATAATTTAATTTATGAAATAATTAATATTCTTCAAAAAACTGCTCCACACGTTTTCACTTAATTATCGTCGATGATTAAATTTAAATTGGTAAATAAATTATTATTAGAGATAATAATAATTTAAATTTATCAGAAAAAACAATATTGAGTAGAGGTAATACAATACATTTTAACCTTTTTAGACAAAATATTTTAAATTTTGAATATAAAAAGCTTATGTTGATGTTTGTTTTACTACTCGTTTAAAAACATTTCTCAGTAATGTTTTTAAACGAGTAAAACAACATAAGCTTTTTATAATCATAATTTAAAATATTTTGTCTAAAAAAGAATTTCATCTACAAGCACGTTTTAAATGAAGTATCAATTTCATTGTTTGTGTGTTTGTTACTTTTTAATTTTTTTTTTGGTGTTGTTGTTTCTCAAGAAGGAAGTTGGGTTATGTAATAAAATATCACATCTAAAATAATATCTATTAAAATATTATCTACTATCTATAATCTAAAATAATATCTATTATCTAAAATATTATCTAAAATATTATCTAAAATATTATCTATCTTATCTAAAATATTATCTATAATATATTATCTATAATATAAAATATTATCTATAATATAAAATATTATCTATAAAATAAAATATTATCTATCTTATCTAAAATATTATCTATTTTATCTAAAATATTATCTAAAATATTATCTAAATTATTATCTATAATCTAAAATATTATCTATATCTAAAATATTATCTATTATCTATAAAAAATATCACGCCTAAAATATTACATCCCCCATAGAAAAAATAAAAACGAGAACGCGCTTTCGAGTCATTGCACTTAGAAGTGTTTCAAATACGTCGGAAACATTCAATTATAAACAACATAATTAAAACGCAACGAGATTCACAAAAACGTTTTTTTACTAATATACTATAAATGAAGTTAGCATGAAATGGTAATATATTTTAAATTCTTATTTATAAAATTTTGATCGTAATGTATTGTGTGACAATAGTGTAGAAAAAGATTACGCATTAGGAATATAATACTTTAGGTAATAAAAATAACAATCGTTTGCAATATTTTAGAAGTATACAAAGGGGGGATGTGATATTTTAAGTAAGAATTTTAGTTTCTTTTTGTGGTACAAACATAATTTACAAGTGATAAATGTGATAATCAAGATAGCAATTACTACTCATTTGAAAATATATATATATATATATATATATATATATATATATATATATATATATATATATATATATATATATATATATATATATATATAATATATATATATATATATATATATATATATATATATATATATATATATATATATATATATCCATTACAGTTAAGACTCTTAAAGTTACCTTAAGGCAGAATACTCCAAATGTTATACCTTCAGCTTGTATGGCATGTGGTAATGTTAATATTTCAAACTTTTCTGAAACACCATATCTTTGTTGTAAGTAACAACTACTGTATAATAGTAAAAAAATTATAAAAGATGTAAATACAAATTTTGACATAGGAATATCTAATAATAATATCATACTTCCATTTCACTTCTTCTTTTTTGATGGAATTTATCTGTTCTCCCAAAGAATCCATACAGCATATTAGCATATCTTGTTTAAAGAGCTCTTTCTATGAAGATATATATAAATATATATATATATACATATATATATATATATATATATATATATATATATATATATATATATATATATATATATATATATATATATATATATATATATATGTGTATATATATATATATATATATATATGTATATATATATATATATATATATATATATATATATATATATATATATATATATATATATATATATATATATATATATATATATAATTAAATTAATAAATCATTAATTTTTTTAGATAAAAGTTTTTGAATACCTTATGCTGTCTTTGTATTAAATCAGTTTTAATTGGGAATTCATCCAGTGAGAGTAGCCCAGCTGGCTACAGTACTTCAATTCGATTCTTCAAAGCATCAATAAATGAAATGGCATTCAATATATTGTTTTATATTTAGAATTAAAATTTTATTTAAATGAAGACAAATTTAAAAAAAAAATGCAATATTGTTTTTTTGTACAAAAATTTTATTATAAAGTACATTAATTAATCATACTTTTTCTTTACTGTTTACTAATATTTTGAGATAAATATTAACAACTTCGTCACTGAGACATTCGTTTAAAGTGTCTTGTAACGAATAATCGTATACTTTGCAGCCACCTAAATCTGGATATATACCCATAATGACTTTTACAGGGTTTTTAATATGGATACATTTTATTATTTCGTGACCTATTTATGAAATGCAATTTAAGCATAATTTCATCAAAATTTAAGCATAAGCGTTTCATCTAATAAAATAACGACAATTACATTTATTGAAGATTACATGTTTTAAAACTCTACACATATTTTTTCACCAGGTGGGATAATGTTTAAATTGATTATTTGAATAGGTTTACATAAAAATCTTTATTACAATAAAAAGCTAACGCTAAAAAAATGTAAAAGTGATTTATTATTATATACCTTTACTGTCTTTAGCTGCAAAGATTTTTTTAATTATCTGCCTACTCTAGAAAATAAATTATAAATAAAATAAAACGCTAACAATTACAAATGAATAAATAAGTTTTTAATTCATACCTTCACTATCATTAACTTCAAAGCTTTTTGTTGGTGTCTTTGTCTTCTCTTGAAAATAAACCATAAAATAAAATAATGAAAAAATATATGTTTTAACTATAAATTAAAATAAGAAAACGAATATTTTACCTGAGTATAAATCAAAAAACAATAAAATTTGTTTTCATTTTTGTATTACCCGTAGAAAGTTAAACAAATATTAGGTTTGAAGAAAAAATAAAATATTCTATAAATAGAATGAAAACTTCATTGAAGTAACAGGTATATCAGTAACTTCTACAGAGTAACAATATTAAAAAAAAACATTTCTCTTCTCAGCGTTTTTTAAATACGTTTAAAGACCTGTATTATGCATAATAAAATTTAGATGCCTTTGAATAGCTATGGGTTTCTGAGACAAGTGTCTGACAAAGATGTCTTTTAAACTAAAATAAGTGAACATAAACTAATATATTTAAAAATATAATGTAACTTCACTTTGTTTTAGCTCATTCTTTTTCTAGCGCTTATCTTTATTTAAACCTTTTAATTTTCTAAACTGATCAAAACGAGCTTCTTGATTCACAAAAAAGTTATGCCAAATATTGTGTGGCCGTGGCGCAGAGGTTAGATCGTATGTTTTATAAGCAGGAGATCCAGGTTCAAAACGAGCTTTGGACATATTTCGCGTCATGGTAAGGAAGGAGGTGTGAACTTCCTGGTTAAATGCACTTCCGCGGTGCTCTGTGACAAGACCGTTAGGACTTCTTAGGGTACCTAAATAACAAATTTAAAAAAAAAAAAAAATATATAAATAAGGACAATTTCTGTGCAGATTTTTTTGTTATGTTTATTATGGCTACGCGTTGGTACTGGACTCGTTGATTAAAAATTTAATCAATCTTTATTATAACAATTAATATAGTCAATTTTGTTACCTAATTCAATCATTTAAATTAAGCCACCACGCTCTCGTCTTTTTTTCAAACTTGTTGAATTCAACGCTATAAATCTGTCATTATAAGGATGATTATTATTTCTTAGTGAAATCTTCTTTGAACTATCATGCACTTTAGCATTTGTGTCATTAAGAAAATAGGAAGACCTAACAAAAGCAGAATATTCTTAGTGTGGAAGAATAACACTTGCTCAATAGTATTTTTTTTCAAAATTTTTATTTTTACAAAAATGTTGTGTTAACATTTGATGGAATATATATATATATATATATATATATATATATATATATATATATATATATATATATATATATATATATATATATATATATATATATATATATATATATATATATATATATATATATATATATATATATATATATATACAAGGCCGGCGCGATAGGGGGGTGTCACACCCCCTTCATCAATAATTTTTAGTCGGCAAACTGGACCCTTAGTCGGCAAATTGGACCGTTTTAGACTAGTTAGTCGGCAAATGTCGACCCTTTCGATATAGGTTAGACAGTCGGTAAATGTCGTCATGACAGTCGGCAAATTTTGGAAAACGAGGACCTTTTTTTTTTTAGTCGGCAAAAGTTGTAATGGCACCCCCCCCACGTGACACCTACTCGCGCCGGCCCTGTATATATATATATATATATATATATATATATATATATATATATATATATATATATATATATATATATATATATATATATATATATATATATATATATATATATATACACAACAAACCGTTTATGTACTTTGTCTTTTACAATACATTATTCTTTATCATTTCGGTTCAGTATGATATTGGATGATTCTAATACATGAAATACATGATTTTATAATTTATTGTAATAAATATAAGTTAATTTTTTAACTGCCACTAAAAATTTGTATAACTTTAATAATTGTGAACTGGACTAAATATTATTAACTCGCCTCAACAGGCTCAATAATCACATTATATTTCCATACCAAACCACCCAAAGAAACGCTAATATTTTAAAAATAGTTCTTTAAATATGTTCCTTTATAAAGAAAAGAAGAAGCTTCTATTATTCAAAAAAAGTATCTGAAGAAGTTATAACCTTCCTGAAATCTTACGCCTTAGCCACCATAGCTGGACGTAATGGAGAAAAATTTTAAATTATTCAATAGAATGAAAAAAGACAAACCGTAATTATTTATTTTCCTTCAAAACGTTTTGTACATTAAAACTAGTAAAATATTTATGCTGTAAGATATGAAAACATTTAGAATAAAAAATTATTGTAATTAATTTCGTTCATTTTAAATCTTATGAAAACTTTAATTCCACCAAAGTTTTATATATGACTTCGTTGAACAATGTCGCATGTTTAAATTGTTAGCTCAATCGTATCTAAAAAAAATAAAATATTAAATTAAAACTTTAAAAAGCTAAAAAACACTATCAATATTACAGTTTATTGATTTTATTAGAAGCTCTTTAATTTTTTTTTTTAATTTTTTAATTAAATATATAAATTTATTATAAAGATTTCCATATCAGAGAAGGACCCAAGCAACAAAAAATAGCTAACAATATTTAAGATACAAATCTTACTTAAATTACACATCAACTCTATGCAGGCGTCTAAAATATTACATCCCACTTAGAAATTCTTTACAATATTTCAAACGATTAGTATTTTGTGTTTTAAATATCAGATTCCTCACTTGTAAATTCTGTGTGTATCACATAAAGAAACTAAAATTTTTACATAAAATATCACATTCCCCCTATGTATACTTTTAGAATATTACATCCCCCTAAGTAATTCTTTACAATATTTCATTAGGTATCAAATACTAATCAATGATTAGTATTTGATACCTAGAATATCACATTCCCCCTATTTATTCTCTATATATGTCACAAAAAAAAACTGAAATTCTTACTTAAATTACACATCCACCCTATTCAGGCGTCTAAAAAATTACATCCCCCTAAGTAATTCATAAAATAATTCAAACAATTAGTATTTGGTAACTAGACTATAACATCCATCACTTGTTATTTCTGTATAAATAACATAAAGAAACTGAAATTCTTTCTTAAAATATCACCATGTATACTTCTACAAATCCCCACTATGTATACTTCTACAATATTATTTTAAAGAGCTATCTGAAGAATCGAATTATCCTGCTTATGCTTCTGAACACGCATAGCAAAAAAAATTTTTAAGTACACATAACACAAAATGTTCAGATTATGTGTTTCCATAGTAATTAAATAAGCTAGAAAACACAATTTAGCTCAACACTGCTTGGCACTAAACGCTGCCAAGTAACACCACAACGATATAACACCGCTTAACATTAAGTGCCAAGTACTACAAATAATTAGTAACACCGCTTGGCTGGCATGGATCACAATCTTGCACTAGACGTTGCCAAGTAACAACACTTTTCACATGGAAACAACTTAATAAACTTATATTAACTCAAGCAGATAAATAAAGATATATAAACGCATATAAACACATAAATTTATATAGACATTTAACAAAAAAAAAAAAAAAAACATTAACAAAAAGTACAAAAACAAAAAAAATAAAGCATATACAACACATGATATTTCCTTTTCAAAATTATAAATTGAAAAATATTTGTAGAGACAACATTATTTGTATAATGTTTGTTAAATGATATACCTTATAATGTACGTTTATCAACTTTAAAAATCAAACTATTAAACAATCTTGTTCTTGAACATGCAACATATAGAGTATTGGACGAGAGATTTGCAACCAACATAAAACAATGCTAAAAACTATTCCATACTTTACATGTCTTAAAAACGAAACGGACTATACTACAACTGCAAACAGTTCAGGTGTCTTGAGTCATAGCATGCCATGACATGAGCAATCAGCTGACAGGTGACAGCACACAGGCAGAATTTCGTTGACAAGTGCCAATTTGCAGCGGACAAAACAAGTGCAACTTTTTTGGTTTATTTTATTTTCTTAAGTCTGGTCCGTGTCAACGTCACGGAAGTTTTTTATTAATTCTGAAGCATCCAGAAGCATCAGAATGATGCTTCAGAATGTTTCATCCTGAAACATTCTAAAGCATCCAGAAGCATCGAAAAGAAGCATCTACAATCTTTCAGAACAGGTTCACACAGGTTTATTTTACTATGTAAGAGACATGTAAACTGACATGTAACTCAGTCAGTATGTAAAAGTCAATCAGCCAGTATTAACAAGACAGTTTATCGAAGTGAGTTTTATCAAAGTGTTTTATCGAAGAACATCAATGCAAGAAGAGAAATTCAACAAGTGTTTCATTACATCAATACAGTCCACATCCAACCAAATCGTTGTGTTCCATAGAGCATTATTGTATCATAATAAGGTAAATATAACACGTAAAGCCTTACGAAGTAAAGCCTTGAGAAGCGTGTAAAGCCTTGAGAAGCGTGATTATTTTTTTTTATTATTTTAATCACTGCAAGTGCAAAAATGTCTCCCGACAGTCTTGTATTGGAACTAAGATAAAAAAATTATTTTACTTTTTGATTTGTATTTGACTTTTATTTATGGTCATTGAGTATAATAACCTAACTGGAAACTCACAAACGTATAAATGTAAAAGGTGAATTTGCATCTAATATAGCTAATTGAACTCGAGAAACAAATAACCTGTTAACAGCTGATACACCTGTTGAAACCTCACCATCAATGTAATTATTATTTAGTGCATTCACTATTAAATGGGTTCCATTACAAAGCCCACCTTTGAGATCCTAATTTTTAAGTAGCATTGTAACAGCACCAATTTTTAATTTTAGGCAATGAACAGACATACCTACTCAAACTATTGAAAAACTTGACTGGAAAGTTAATAAGTTCATTACAATTATCAGTTTCAATGCTATCTGAACTTAAAAATGTTTTCACACACCGGAAAACGATGAAGGACTTTTTCATTTATTTCCAATGAATCAACATTTGTTGGCGTTAAAATAGCACGTTCTGCATAATCAGCTTCTTCTGCACCATCGAAAATCTTCTCCACCGTTTATTCATTATTACTGAAAAAGCACTGCTTAGGTATTTTAATACACCTCGCGAAGGATGTTTAGTATAGATAAGTAATGTGTTACTTCGAAGCTTTAAAAACCATTGAGAAAATTCCTAATCTTCTATCTTAACTCTCTTACTTACAGTTAATGAGAACCTTTGAACATGTTGCCAATGTTCAGAACATTTTAAACATGATTCTATAACTTCTGCTGGTCGATCTCGCTACACAACTGGAAGTATTTGTCTCAAGTCTCCACCCATAAGAATAAATTTACCTTTAAAAGGAAAATTATTATTTCAAACATCTTGTAACAACTTATCAAAGGCACTTAAAGCATATTTGGGTATCATAGATGCCCCATTAAGTAAATACAAACTGACTTGTCTCACCAATTTTTGAGAAGAGTTGCAGCTATTCCTATTCATGTTGCTGTTTCAGTTTTGATATGCCTGTTTCGTGTTTCAGAAATTTAATAATTGTAAGTAAATGTTTTACCAAAACCGGCAGGCCCATCCATAAAGAACAATCTTGAATGCTTATTTTTATTAGTAGGTTTCTAACTTAGTGCAGCAAAATCGCATTAGCAACATTACGCTGATTATCATTTAATAATTATCAAACTCAGTTTGCTTCATCAATAAACACATGAACATCTTCATCATCGTTTTCTAGGACATTGTCTAAAAACTGATCTAATGCAGGCAAGTTAAATTTAGCTATGGTTTAACCACTCTGAATATTTATAGATTCAATATGATGAAGGGCTGCCTGTTCAGCAAGTACAATTAGCATTGGATGGTGTATGTATTTCTCGATCATATAATCTTCAAATGTACTCCAAACGTGTAAAGGATCATCTGGTTCACATAATATTAACATGATGGAAAACAGTAGCCTAATATGATTAGGCATCCGAGTTGCAACAGCTTTAGTTAAAGTATTTCTACAATCAATGTTATCTTGCAATAAACTATAATAATAACATTCTTCACGAATTGCATTGAAAACAGTACCATGAACAGTACGCAAATCCTCAAAAGACTTTTACATACAAAAGTAACAATCTGAGAAAAAATAGTTCTTAAAATAAATTAACTTTATGCCTTCAAACAATCACCATATCACTACCTCTTTGTCTTACTACCCACTTGCAATTTTTACCATAAACAAAGCTATATGGAACTTCAACATAAGAATACTCATGTACTTCATTATTTTCAGCATTTAACTTAAACCACACTGTTAGTTGTTTTTCTCCTTAGATAAAATATACTCTCTGATTATCACGAAGTCGGACTTAAAGGTGGATAATAGTATGTGAAAAATCACTTATGGAATACTCATATATTGCCAAAAAGCCTCTGATGCGGAAACAAAGTGACAGTCTAAAAATGAGTTAAGCTCATTAGGGTCAACAATTTTATTACCACATTAGCACAACCATGCCTCTTATAGATATATTTGTATGTATACTTTACTGACTTAATAAACATGCACGCTTCAACATAAATGTAGGCTTGGTATTTTTTTGACAACCCGGGGTTATTGGATACAACCCATCAATAATTATCTTGCTCACCTTTTCTAATGACTACTCTACCATTATCTAAATGCTTGTAGCTAGGATAACCATTGAAAATTACAACAGTGCGAGGAATAAACTCTTTAGGAAATTTTTTGTGCAAATTCGAGCTTTTATGAAAGGAGAGTTTGGATTTAAAATACCACATGTTCCATATATCATACATGTTTTTACAATTTAAAAAGTTCAGGATTGACTGTTTGATTTGAAATTTTAGGTGAAATTAAACTATCAACATTCTCCTTTGTTTCTAGCTTATTATCATTTACAAAATGTAATAAAATATGTACATATGGCAAACCACGTTTTTGAAACTCAATAAACTGTCCGTGACTTACATCTTTGCCTAAGACTCCATGTTTAAAAGTATCATCTGAGACGCATTTAAGTTTCATTTTATATACGCGACAAACTAAATCAGGTCTGTCAGTTGCGCTCTCACCTGGATTTAAATTTTCTGTAATGTCACTTCATTTTAGATTACAGGTAAAAGTAATAAAAAGATCTGGTTTGCCATATTTGTTTATATTTGTCATTGCATCTTCAAAATATTCTTTTAAAGCTCTTGGACTTCCAACATATGAAATGGTAGTATAACAACACGATTCGGTCTTACATTAAGGTTGTTTGCAGTGTTATTTACATACTTAGGTATGGTATAGCGTTGTTCATTTGTTTGTTTTGGTTATTTTAGATAAAAGCAAGGCGCTGTTTTTCAATCTTGAAACATGCATCAACAGCAT